ACCCCTCTAAAGAAAGTAAATAAATAAATAAAAGGTTTTTGGGTTTGTTCGTATAACTTTTAGGAGTATTTTAGCAATATTTTAACTTTTGTTTATGGCTGTTTGGTTGGAGGGTTAATAATATTAAGAAAATTTTTATTGAAAAAGTAGTTAGAAAGTTAATAAATTTTATAATAAAATTTTATTAAAAATTTGTTAAGTTGTTAATTTGTTTTATGAAAGTTTTTCCTAACCAAAAAACCCCTAAGTTTACTGTGTTTAAAAAAAAAAAAAGGTAAATCTCTATTTTTAGTGTCTGGACTAACTATTTTTTAGCATATAAGCACTTTTCGCTGTTCTTATGACCAAACTTAATGTTGTTAGGAATACATAAATCGTCAAATTTTATTTTAATTTAATTATTAGAGAACAATTAATAATTAATAAATAATTATATTTATTATTTAATAAATTAAAATTAATTTATAAATAAATATTTTTTAAAATTATAATTAATTATTTAAAAATATTATAAATTGATAAAATAAATTAAATTGTCTGTGCTAATAATCAAAAGTAGCTACTTTATATGACACTGCCAACGTGATGCGTTGGCAAGAAATCTCATTTGTCTCTGTATTCTTGTTCCTGTCCTACGATACCCCCCAAACCATATAAAAAATTAATTAAAGAACCTTAGAAAGCAAAAATCAAATCATTATTTTTTGAGGTTCATAAAAAAAATCATTATTCTTTGAAAAAAATATCACAATTGTGTGGTCTAGTGGTCACTCCTTCGGAGTAGGTGAGAAGACTACGGCCACAGTGTTGTGGTTAAGTTAAAACCCCACCCTCATTGAAAAGGTAAAAACCAACATTGAGTTCCTTACTTTACAAAATTAGTAAGTTTTAGCCCTTCACCTTATAATATGATACTTTTAACTTTTTATCTTACAAATTTGATAGGTTTTAGCCCTTGACCTTACAAAGTTAGTAGGTTTTAACCATTCTTCTATACGAATTGAAGAAAATAACTATAACCTAATATTAGGTTATAACATTCTGTTAGTTTTGTTAGCTGACTATTAATATTCGTTAGCATTTC